TTCCATAAAAAGATATACTGAATCTAGAGCTCTTCTCTATCCGTAAGGTAAGCCATGTGGTTCTTAGGGCAATCAGATTTTTGAGATGTGAGTCCTTGTTGCCAGTTACTCATCCCTATGTTATTTTTCAGGAATGTACAAATATATTTTTCACTATTTTTCTAAAAAAAATAATTTGCTTAATAATGTCATACCTTTTCTTTCTCCTTCCTCTCTCCACCAGGCTTTTCACTTTACAGCCCCCCTCTATCCTACCTAGCATCCCTAACTTCTGAAATATGTTGATGACTAACACTGGGATTCTGTTTGCGAGAGCTTTAAATACTCTAGGACATAGTTAAAGAGAGAATTCACATCAATTTGAAAATACATGGCTTAAACATTCTACTCTTTTCTTAACTGTGCATTCATTTCCTTATTTTACTAGTGCATTCATTTCCTTATTTTACTACCTCAGTGAAATCTAGAAGGTACTGCCTTCCTGACACCTTTTGGTCTTCTCACTTTAGAGTTAGAATACACTTTCTATTTCACACAATAAAAAGACTTCTGGAGTGATGTGGGGGTTTTATTTCTCCTGCTAGTTTCATTTCATCTCATGCTTGTCTTTCTGATTTTATTCTCACATGTTGTACTTTCATTCTCAGCCCTAACAACCAACATAAAAGCTAACTTACTTTGTCCTTTCCTGTAGGTTTGTCTTTCCAGTTTGAGTGATTTAGCCAAGCTGGTTTCTTAGCTCCAAGTTCATTGAAAACTGCCTTCCTGACTCCTGTAGGCTTCATGTTGATCATACTCTTTGTTCTGGTCCTGCAGATCACTAATCTCTCATCACTCTGCCATGTCATGTAAGTCTCAACTCATGCTTACCCTGATCTTTTCAGCTACTTGTTTCTTTCTGGCTGTAATCAAAACTAGAATAGCCTTATTGCTCTGTGAAGACTTCTCCAGAAAATCTGGAAGGCTCAATTGTCTCCAGCCTTGTGTTCATGTAGGTATTCACATTCACAGGTGAGGGAGAGGAAACAAGAAGGCTGTGGCATAGGGACACTGCTTAAATTACACACCCTGTCTCATGCAGCAAATGTCTCATCGTTAACAGTTCTTCACAGGGACCGTGAATGACCCAGACAGACACAGTTACAGCACCCTTGGTGCAAGCACCCTTTCGCCCACCTGAAAACATGAGACCTTGTCTCTTCCCTGCCACTCCTGTGCCTAGGAGGGAATTTTATGTTAGTCACATGTGAGTCATGAACGCTGGAATAGCCAAGCATGACAAGATGGAAGTTTTGCGTAGCAACACAGCCTGTCACAGCCTCAGCTGCTGAATATACTGATATATTAATAAATGTGTATCTAGGCACCCCTCTTTGCAGTTCACTCGCTCCTTGAACACTTAAACTTCTTCTGGCCTTCTCGTTGCTGACTCTTGTACACAGTTACTCAACTTTCTGCTGCAACTTCCACGGGCACGTTTTCAAAATATTGCCTGTAGGACAGATAGAGGCTATGGATGCAAACCCACTCTGAGACAGTGTGAACAGCAGCTCAGCCAGGACTGCTGTGTTCTTTACTACCATCACACGATCATGGTGAAGTAACCAGCAAAACTTTTCTTACAATTCTCTTCAACTACATCTCTTTTGTTCAAGTGCCAAAATTCACAGGGACTCTGGTTTGTCCCAAACATTCACTCTAACACTGTCCCCTTTCAGTCCTGGCCACCATGTCATCAATTTCCCAGATTTCAGACAGCCTGCTCCCAGAGCAGGATCAGACATGAGTCCTGGAAGGGGCACAATAAAGCTTGCCCTCCTGCATAGCAAGGATGTGAAATGACAAGAGGCTGAGACAGACTGCTTTCCCATGCAGGGCAGGCCTTGGGCACAAGGAGCATACTGAAGCACCAGCCTTGCTTTAAGGAGGGCCTCCCATGTCACCAACATCCCTCACAGCTTCCAGGAGTTCGGGAATCTGTAGAAATAGCCTCCTTATGCTCACGAGAGGCATACATGTCAGTTGGAAGATGTTGGCAAAGTGAATGTGAAGGAGGATCTCCAAGTATTTATTTGAACAATTCTTAGTCAACCTATACCCATTTAAAACTCTTGCCTATGCCCAGGTATGTCTAGGAAACAGGACAACATGTTGCAGACGCACTAGGAACACAACAAGCATGTTGCCATTGGTCTCAAACTGCCGCTCCAGTTTGGAGGGGAGCACTGAGACAGAGTCCACAAAGAGTACAACAGATCAGAAGTTGAACAAGCTGCCCAGATCTGCCGTGGCCTGTAGACAACTGGACTCTGAGAGGGCCCAACAGTATGGGTGTCCAGACTCCACTGAAAACTGACACACTTATGACTTTTCATTTCTTCAGTGACTTAGCCAAGGCTGAAACATCCTGCTGCCATAGTACTGAGGTCCAGAACCAGGCAGAAGCAGCTCACTTAATGTCAGGATTCCTCCAACACTTCAGTAACACCAAGAGCCCTCCCCAGAGAAACACAGACAACAGGACTCTGGGCAGAGTTCCTCATTTACATCTTCAGTCTTGCAGTGTTATTTGGGCTTCCACTCAGGCTTAGCTACAGCTAACTCCAATTCCTGCACCTCCAGTCCCTGAGGCAGCTGACGAACAGCCTTCCCCCCTCAAGGAGCACAGCAGAGGAAGTCAGACCTCCAGTGACAGCAATACATGGACAGGAGATCCCAGGGGCATTTTACAACAGCTCCAACGTCCTCTTGCCATCACAAACAGGTTCACTTGCAGAAACAAATCAGTTTTATTCTGCTTTCTTCCTGCTACTCTGAGGCCCCACAAAATGTCAAAATAAGAGCAGGCGTAATAAATGACCTTACTGTCGTACAAACATGCTTAAACAGTCTTAGTCTGTAGTACTTGGCCAAGCCAACTCCCTCTGCAGTTTGTTGCTCAGACTGATTTTAGCAAGCTGCAAACTGCAACTGATGCAGTTTGGAGAAGTAGCTTACTCATGGGTAATATACCACTTATTAAATAGAATGGTACTAAACTAATTCAATAATGAGGGCCAGATACAAGCCCCATTAAACATCAATGCAGAAAAGTGAGAGATTGAACAGCAGCAGGGACCATTCCCTTTGAGACATTTTCAGTGTCCAGAATTTTTTCTGAAATACAAAAATGGAAAAATGCATCTGAACTTTTTGCCTCTCATTCTAATACAGCTGTCCTTCATTCATTGACACTCCACTGCAATATTAGCCAACTGATGCTCAACTCTCTTTCTTCTATCAGCATTATTGCAGTCACTTCTTCATGCATAGAAATACAGCTCATTTATCCACATCATCAAATCAGCTCTGAAGAAACAGAGTCATTCCTCAGTAAGAGAAAGAAGGACTGCTAAGTGGGAGTGGGCTGTTTCTACAATTATACTCTTAAACAAGTGTAACCAATTACTGTTCAGGTGAGCACCACTGAATTGCAATCACAGAGATAATTGTGTCTGAACACTTGCACATTCCATGAGTAGGATGTAAATTTCATTTATGAGGTTTTTAACTTACTATTCCATTGAAATTAGAAAGAAATAAAATCATAGCATTCAGAGCTATTGTTTCAGGCTGTTTGCAAACTCCAGTGACCATCTTTTCAAACCTTTGCCAGCAATCATATACTTCACTTTATAGTCACTGATAGTCACTTTTCTCATAAATAAAATCTTTCAGGGCAATAATAAAAATAAATACACTCTCCTGAGAAAAATATCAGATTGCCAAACCATTGTGACACAGCCAAACAAACTTTAGCTGAGATTGTGTAATCTCAACAATTGCTGTTGTTAAATTGCAGAATGGTTTTAGCTGAGAATTATTTCAGCTATTACCAAATTCATCTTATACCTTTTATCAAAGGATTTCAGAAACTAAAAGAAACAATAATCATCATTCCATCTTATTTTCTAAAAACAGCTTTAGAGCTTAGTGACAAAATTCAGAAGAAATGCAAGACTTAAAATCTCGCCACTCCTTCTACTTGCTGCACTTTGCTGCTTTGCTTCAATTAGGGTTTGTTGATTACCCAATACAAATGTAGTTCCTATGCAGCTGAACAATAACACAGCCAATATTATGAGGCCAAATGCTGTCTAAAACAAGCACATCCCAGCATTCTCCTCCTCATAGGCATGGCTGCACTTAAGTCTTTCAAAATACTTGAAAATTACAATTGCAATAGGTATTCTACTTGGAATGGTCTTAGGGACAAATAATATTTGCATCCAGAACTCCCAATTTGCTTCTTATATGTAAAAACAAACATTACAACCTGGAACACCTAGTGCTGGCTAGCCCTGCTGCCCACTTTGCAGGCCTTGCTGAGTGAGCTGGACAAGGATAGGTCTATGGGGGAGCTGACGCTTTACTTTGGGTTCTGCTCCCCCTCCCGCTTTACTTGTCAGCTGTGTGCTCGCACAGGGGGCTTCGCCACCTCTCCAATGTCCCTGCCCGGTGTTGTGTCCCCTCTGCGCGCCACACGGTGGGAAAACAGCGGGGAAAGCAGCCCCACAGCATGCCCTGTGTGTACGCAGTATGTCCGCACCGTGTGCAGTGTGCACAGGAGACACAGACACAGACACACGCACCGTGGGCCCCACACTCTCGGGACAGAGACGCCCCTCTGACCGCCCGGGAAGCCGCGGCCCTTCCGCACGGGCCTCATCTGTGCCGCCATCCCGGGATCAGGAGCCTACCGACGGGGGCCTTGCTCCAGCCATGCCGCTGGCGGGCGGCTGGCAGCACCCGGGACCCGCTCCCGTTTGCGTAGGACCGTGCCCGGTTGGGGCCCGACGCCCACACGCAGCCCTCGTCTCGCCCGCGGCGGCGCTCCGGGCTGTGGGTGGCCCCGCGGGGCTGACGCAGGCGGCGGGCGGGCAGGAGGGAGGGAGTAAGAGAGGGAGGAGCCCGTGATGGCCGGTGCCGCCGCCGTCGCGCTGTCCCTCGCTGCGCTGCCGGCCACCGCCACCGCCGCCCTTCCGCCGCTGTCAGCTCCCGAACACCGCGCCGCCGCCATGGCCGAGGAGGAGGCTCCCAGCGAAGGGTGAGTGGAGCGGCCGCGGGGTGAGCCCTGTTCTCTCCGCGGCCGTCCTGGACGGCGGCAGGAAACCTTTCGGGGCGCCCGGGCCGTGCCGTGCCGTGCCGCCGCGGGCGCTGCTCGCCCGCCTCCTCCCGCCGCCGGCCCGTCTGCCCGCGGCGCCTATGGGCTGCGGGGCGGCGGCGGCCGGCCCCTGTGCCGGGGGCTGCATGGGCTCCGCGCTCCGCTCCGGCCCTGCCGCGCTCCGGCATCGCCGCTCGGGCGCTCCCCGGCGTGCGGGCACACTGCCTGCCATGTTTTCGTGCCGCACAGCCCGCCCTCCTGCCATGGCTTCCCGCCTTCTGGCAAGGGCAGGCTCCCGGCAGGGTTTGCCACCGGCTGCCTGCGAGCCCCGTGTCCCCGCTGCTTCGCCTTCTGCGCTAGAGCCCCGCCGTGGCTGGCCAGCTGTTGTCATTGCACACCTGCCTGCAGGCGCGTCCCTGCGCGTTTTCTGCCGCTTTGCTTTGGCGTAGGTACGCGCTCCGACTGTCAGCCACCCCTCCCTTTGCTCCCCAGACGTCACAGGGCTGTATACAGTGCTTGCCCATGCTCCGGTGTGCCTCTGCGGCTCTATCTGTGCCTACAGATACCCCGTCTTCTCGTTCCATCCATTCTATATGTTCACTTTGATGTAGAGCGGACAGGACACTTGTCAGCCTCTCTGTGTAGTCATTCTGTACTTTATGTAAATAGGAGATGAGAGCACATCTATAAATTACAAGCATACGCTGTTGCTGTAACTTTTCCAGTGCTTTATGCTGTCTCTGCTAACTTCTTTCCTTGAACTGTCCCAGGGCATTCACATCTACTGAAATAATATGGCATAAGTTACCCTGCCCCTGTTCTTAACAGATATCTCTAATACCTGTTTGTAACCACTTAAACCCCTGATATGACTTTATTATAGCTAGTAATCATTCTTCTGTCTGAAGTTACATAGTTCCACACTATATCTCTTGTGTGTGTACATTCAAATGGTTGTATACAAGTTACTCATCAATGGGCTGTTCTTCAATTCACATGTTCTTTACTCAAGTATGCCTTCTTAGTGTATGCTTTATGTCTTGTTACATTTAAGCTTCCATTGCAGACCCATTTTTATACCCTTCCATTGCCCTCAAATATGTTGTCTGCCTCTGTAGAATAATACAGTCATCCTATCTCTGAGTTTGTTTACCAAACGTACTTAATGTATTTGCTGGTCACTTATCTCAAAGTTTGTTCCATCGTATTTTATGGTTCTAGTCCAAACATTGCTCTATCAGAATATATCTAGCTCTGCTTTAGTCATACATGTGCTTTATTCCTTCTGTCAGATGTGTAAATATGCTTTGCATGCATTGTTTACAGGAATTTGGCCTCTTTCTGTACGCTTTAAATATCAGGCGGTGTATCCCATTGCTGATTGCCTAGTCCTCAAAAACTCATTTCTTGCCATCTCTTCTACATCTCCCTTCTTGCATAACTAAGTCTTGTGTTATTTTGAGAAATCAGACTTAAAATTCTTCAGCTATTTGCATGAAAACCATGCCATGCATTCATGACATCTTAATTAAGGATATTGCTATTTGCATGTTGTCATGTTTTGTGTCTGTTCTGTTACTTTTCAAAACTACCTGCATCCTCCATCTTGTTCTCTATTTAGTCCTTTTTGCAGCATGGGATTTTGCTTTTCATCTTACATGTTTTCCTGCTCTGCCAGCTGAGTCTGACTAGATCCGGACTCCCCATCTTTTCCAAATTCCCTGTTATGCCATTATCACCGTATGTACACAGCATTCTTATTTCAAATGTGAACTCCAAAAGCTTCCCTTTCAAAGCCCTAAGCAATTTTGTCTACTCTATAACTCTGCACTCTCCTCCTTTCCTCAAACTTAAAATAGCTTTCCAAAATCTTCTCCTTCACACAACCTCTGCCTTCTGCAGCATTACCCACTTGAAACTACAAGTGAAAAACCCTTCTTGGTTCTGTGTTCTTTCTGACCTCTTCACAGTCTTAAATGCAAGTAGTTTGTAAAGCTTCTTGTTGCTGGTTTACAGGTTTTCTAAGTACAAGTCTTAAAATAGCTGTGCCTCAGCCTGTTTTGTTTGTGTGTTCATTCAGCGCATTAGCCTGAACTGCATTAGCTGTCTGGTTTGATCACACAGAGTGCTGAGTGCTGCTGAGACAGTGCCAGCCACCCTCAACTCGAGTTGCCTTTCAGGATTGCGGGATTGTAACACTCGTTGATCTGGACGTAGGGTTAGGCTGAATTTTCAAGAGGATTATTGCAAGTTTCTCATGTGGTTTACACAGCTGGATGGCTTTTAAGGGGTGTTGATTTTCAGAACTTCTGAATGATTAGATGCTGATGTGGTATTTTTCTGTGTAAGTCTCCCAACACACTAAAGATTTCTAAGAATAAAAATCTCATCATCTTTTTCCATGAATTCAGAAAGCACATTTGTGCTGAAGTGTTAGTGCTTTTATTGGTTGGTTTCTAGCAATAATTAAAATCGGCATTTGTCCGTCTTTTGAAGTCAAGTAAAGCTCAGTACCCAGGGGAAGTTTATAAACAAGAGAAATATGTTCAATAATTTTTCATTTAGAATGCCGTGGCAGTGGTAGGAAGTTACAATATACCATCGAACCCCTAGATTAAATTACTAGTGACAGGTGCACACGAACAATAAATGCAAAGTTTATCTGCTTTGAAAACAGTAGTGTGACTCAATTTGTTATGCAACAACGCTTGCTTTGTTGCAATTTGGTAACTGTGCAAAGCATGATGGAAACAGAATAACAGTAGTTCAGTTACTTTCTGGAAGATCTCAGCTGAAAAATATTCATGAAAAATATTCGTGGCCCTGTCCTAACTTTGAATTAGAAGATGAACTAAACAAATGTTTTAGTAGTCACAATGACAGTGATTGCTTGGTTAACATATCACCTGCTACTGATTTCCAAGCCTGTTTACAGCCTTGGACCTCCTCTCTGTAAGCTTTAGACAGAGACTTGTGCCTGTGAGGCAGACAGCCTAATGTGAGCCTTTTGCCAGTTTTGAATTCACTTATTCACTCTGGATGCAGCAGGACTGCTTCTGGCTTGTAATATAACTAGGAAGAACAGCTGCTAAATGTGTGTATACATACAGAAAAAAGATCCCCAAACTACAATACTGGGGGTTTTTTCCCCCCTCTGAGATAAGTGGGTAGTTTTCTTTAAAACAAAACTTTAGGGCATCTGCAGTTACAAGCCCACATCAAATTACTTGTAAGTGGCCTTTGGTCTCATAAAATAGTTGGAGTAAAGGTAAAGACATAGACTCTAACACCAGTGTTCACAATTATTTTTGTGTTACCTTTCAAGCTCGTTTGTATTACATAACTTAATTTTGAAGTGAGCTGTTTGATTAATAAAAGAGGAATAGTTTATTAGCCTTGATAGAGCGTGTGTCTTCTTAGTAGGATGGTTCACTGTATTGCAGCGTGATGGGACACTCTTAACTCAGAATTTCTGCCGGAATTTTTTGCTGGTTACACGATCTAGGTTTTAAAGCAAACTGAGTGGGTAGACTGCTGAAAGCAGAGTCCTGCTTACTTTTCTTCTTTCCCATGGTAAAGATGACTGAATGCAGGCTCGGTTGCTACAACTTGCATTTTTAAAAAACTGAGTGAGATGTCAGTGCAGTGTGAAAAGCAGATGTGGGAGAAGGTTAAAGGTCATTTCCTTCCTCTTTTCTGATTTTGTCTTCTTGGCTGGCAAGGTTGTGTCAGTCACAGCCTCAGTACTTAATGCCTTTTGTGTTAGATGCATGAGCTCATCAGAAAGTATTTGTATGAGCAGGTTTTCAGGCACTTATGGGATTATTTCTAATGGTTTCTGGTACTTGTATGAATTTGGGGAGGGAAGATCTGTGTTCATCAAGATCTCTCATCTTCTCCTAATGCAGACTAAACAGAGAGAGGGAAAGATGGCAAAATGTAACAGGGGCTTTCTTTTCATTCTGGTGGCAGAAGAAAGATGCTCATAACCCCATTTACAAGTATCAAGCAAAGACATTTCTTCAGAGGCTGCTGAAGTAGACTTATGGGAGATCTTAGCCCCAGTGGAAATGACAGTGAAGCTATAAATCCAGATGTGCAACTAGATGTGGGGCTGCTGTAGTGCTGGTGACTATGGGTCATTGGAGAACACAAATTTTAGCCAGTATTGCATGTATTTGGGTGTATAAAAAGTTGTTTTAGAGCCTGCTGGGGGCTTATAGGCCCAGTTAGACTTACCTCTTTGAATTGGACAGTGTCTATGTGCCAGGGGTTCTCTGATTGTTCTGAACCTCTGTGGGAGACTCTGAACAACTCTTCCAACTGATAAACTACTAAAATGTATTTTCTTTTATATAGTGGTTTATTAGGATTTTTTGCTGAGGAAATTTTGATTCTTGTGTTTCATAACTTCAGAGTATTTACTTGCAATTCTGACATTCTTTTGGAAGGGTTTTTTGGTACATGATTTGCATTGACAGCCAGGGAGAGGAGGGCATGGGAGGAAAGGTGAGTGTCTGCATTTATATTGGCTCAGAAAGATCCAGATGAGAAGCTGAGCAGCAGGAGAGAGGTCACTAGAGAAGAGAGATTTGTGAGTCAGTAAAGCTGTGTAAGGGAATGAGGTCGATCTGGAATAAGGTTAAGAGGGTAAAAGGAGGATTTTAAGTGGCAGCATGAACACATGGTGGTATGGTGAGGAATGACAGAGAAAGAAGGTGCTCTGAGTGTGTTGTACTAGAAAACTCAAGATGATAGGAGACTACAGAAAGGAGGGGAAGATGTGGGAATTAAAAAAACACATTCTCTAAAGAAGATGCAAGAGCACCTGTTGCCATTGAGAAAGTCTGCTCATATATTGAAGTGAGGGAGAGAAGGGTGTGGCAAAAGGCAAAACACAGAAATAGGGTGGGTTAGTGCTCTAACAGACCATTGTGGAATTGGCTACCTTTAGTAATTTGGTGTCATACTGACACCAAAGTCTTCTTAATTATATCTTTGTCTTTCCATAAGGGAACTTCTGATGTGATAGCTTTTTAAACCCATTTAACTTCTTAACTATTTTGAAGACTACTTGCACTTCTTGACACCTGAAGCATTTGTGGTGTAAGCATGTAGAGAAAATAGTCTGTTGTCAAAAGGGTTGCACACCTCTTAGGTTTTCCAGAAAATGGAAATGGGGATAGATAGTCCAAAATGTTGATTACCAGTTCTTGCATTTTGACGTAGGTGACTCTTTGTCAACTTAGGTGACTATGATAAGGGAACACATTATAGAAGCTGCTCCAATGAATTTCAGTGAAACAACTCTCAGTGTGTATTTATACTTGTGTACAGGTGGGGTTTGTGTATAGCATGTTCGGACCTGAGGGAAGTGATCATATGCTTTATATAGTCTTATATCTGTGTTCTTATATGGGCCCTTATGAAAAAGTGAAAGCATTCACCTCCAAATCTTGTAATCTTAATTGTGCATGCATGATATACAATGGAATTTTACCAAAAGAGAAGCAGGGTGGGGTGTGAGTGGTCAATGGTACAGGTTAGTGAGAGGTGCCTGTTGCATGTATGCTTTGCTCTTGTCCGGTTTGATGGAATTTGGAAACAGGCTGAAATGTGGACTGCTGGCATGGTAAGTAAGAGAAGGCTGACAAGGATTAAGCCAGGTTGAAGTCATGCAATATCTGAAGCGCAGCAGGAGTACATCAGTTGATGTATGAATAAAATAAAAGCAGTAGAAAGTTGGATAACATCTGAGGAGCATCAAGAGGAAATTTTAATTACGCTTTGCTTTGCACATTCTTACTGCAATGTGCGGTGTGTTGTTTGTAAAAACACTTGAAATGTGTGGCATTGCCAAGTTCTATCAGACACAGAGTTTACTGTGAATGGGGCAGAGGTAGGACCTCTGCGGTACCTAACCCATGGTCTCTATCACAAGGGTGAGGAGTTTTAGTGGGGCTGTGCAGCTTGCCCCTTGCTTCTTCTCTGCATCTTTATCTCTGTATTCTTTGTTATTCCATACGTGGTATGTAGTTGCTAATATATATGTATTCTTTTTAATTTATTTTTTTTTTAGCTTTTAAATAGGAATGTGAAACTGAGTTGGGTGCTATCACAGCTTTTTTGTAAGCAGTATGAGCACTGCACATTGCAGGCTTGGGTAACACTCTATGGGTAAACTTCATTCTTGTGGTACATACTGAAAAAGCACTTGCCCTGAAATGGAGACCTTTGGGTATAGCTAGAAAGAGGGTGGAAGATTACAAAAGCATAGAAAAAAGGATGCATATGGTAAAAAAAAAAAAAAAAAAAAAAGAAAGGCAGAGCTGGGAAATGCAGAAGAAAGGGGGAGGGGGCTGTAATGATGTGAGTTACACTGCAAGATGTACCTCTGTCTGAGGTCCAGCATGGGAGAGAGCAGAATTGTAGGTCCTTTCCACTTCATGAGTGCTCAGGTTGCTCAAATGACTTAAAATAAGCACAGTAAACTTTAACATCTGTAAAATTTCCAGAAAATCTCATTGGTACTGGATTCATGTCCATGAGGTACATTTTCAAGTTAATTTTGTAAGTGAGAGTTAATTTTGATAAAAACAGTAATAAAACTTGCTTCTGGATTTTTATAGTAATTCTGATGTTGAATGTTCTGAACACAGAGTTCAAGATGCAGTAAATACATGAGGAATGCATTGTTTTCACCTCTGCCCTAATGAAGAACAGTGTTCTGCAATAACCTATCATGGGTTTTGTGTTGGAATGAGGCTGATGTATGTTACACTTCCTAGAAATATTATGCAGAGGTTTTCAAAACATTCTGTTTTAATGTTACTGGAGTATCCAAGAGTTTCACAACATCTAATTGCATGGAACATCTTGGCTCAAAACTCATCTAAACAGAACTTTATGGGCAGGGTTATAATGTCATCTGGGAAAAAAAAGTTGTTAACCTTTTCTAACCTGTTGACAATTATTTCGTCCATTTATTGTCTCCTCATGAAAACAGTAAACAGACATTTCTTAAAGCAAGGAGATTTTTTGTTCCCACACCGTATTCCTAATACTTGCTTCTGGGTCTTGCCTCTTTAGTATGCACTTCAAGGTCATTCCTGGAGGATTTTTAGTCTGTTCAATGAAAGTGAAACATGGAATGTTTTTCTTCTCCTGATTTTTGTCTGCAACTGCCAGAGTGTTTTGTCCTAGGAACATCTCATTCAAATTGTTGTGGTTGCTACATCTGACTTCTCTTGTATATGCAGAAGCTTTGTCCCTGGATATACAGCCTTCACAACAACAGTTACTGTGTATGCCTGAATGAGACTGAGTATATTCAGTGTTCTCAGAAGACAGAAACATTAAAGAACATGCTGCACTTCAGGGACAGGAATGAAGGACTTCAAGGACTTCTAAAATTGCTTATGCTCTTAAGATTCTCATTAAATCATATCCTGAGCCTTGTTGCAGAAACATCCTTGCCTAGTTAAATGTGGACTTGATGTCATGATTATATGTTACTGTCTGTCAGTGGCAGCTCTGCCTTAAAAGCTTGAATGTTCCCCACCTTGACTCACAGTCTTTCTTAACACCGTGTTAATTTATAGGTCTGCTGGTTAACTTTCTGGCTTTTCTGTAGCTGGGTTAAACCATAACTATCTGGTTTAAAATCTAGTGCCTTTTAAACCTGAATTTCACAAATTTGGCAGAGAACAGCGACCAAGATAGACCTTGGATATAGTGATTACTAAAATGTTTTTCTTTGCATATTAGGAGGTTTTGCCATGGTGGTGTAGCTGGTAACTGTTAACAAAGAAGGATCGATTCTTGCCATAATCAGTCATGTAAACAGCACCCAGTATTCTCATATTGCAGGCTATTAAATTAATAAAATGGGAAAGGAAAAGTTTATTATAACTCGGTTCTGTCATGGATAGAAATGAGCCAGATGTAAACCTGCTACTTTTCTCTGACATTTTGACACAGAAAGTTCTGTTTGATTGTGTCATCCTTGACTGTTTCTTTTGCTTTTTATTGTTTCAGGTTATTACCTGTAGACTAGAAATTTTAGTAACCAAATATAGAATTTGGTCTGAAAACTTGGTTGTGTTGGTGGTGGAAGAAAACATCCTATGTACCTCTTAAGTTTTGTGTAAGCTACTGCTGATGCTGAGGAAAATGCAGAAAGCATCCAGTAAAAAGGAGATAAAATGGTAAAAGGATATCTGTATTACTTCAGTTAAGCATCCATCCTGTGTTAACTGTAAAGTGTTTATAAAGCGTTATAAGAAAATGGTTTTATTTTTTAAATTGACGCTTGGCCATAAATTTGATATGCTGACCTCTTCCCCAGTTGCGAATACCTGATGCTTCTTTTCACTCCTCCATTTTTTTGCCCATTCTTAGTATTTCTATAACCACTGAAAGGGCTGAATGAGTTGTGAGACATGTCATGGCGTTTTTATGGGATGAGGTTTATGTAAGACCGAGGTTTATGTAAGACCTTAGAAGAGTGAACCTTATGTTGCTGATATTTAGATTTCAAAATATTGGCAATTTTTCCTTTGCTAGCACAGTACTGCAAAAATACATTATGCATAAACAAGAGGGTAAAATCTGAGCTGCCTTCCCAATAGCTTACCTTTGTTTTTTCTGTTACAGTGCAAGAGTCTATTAATTTGGAGCTAGCTCGAATTTCTGGGTGCTTATAACTGCATTGTCTGCTGAAAGACCCTGAAAATCCCAATGCCATTCCTCTTGGTGCTGGGCAGAAACTAACAAATCCTCTGCATTAATTTGTTTTTCTTTCCTTACTTACTTCTAAATGGCTGAAATTAATTCTGAGAGTCAGGAGAGGAGAGGTTTAGGGTTTTTGAGAGCTCAGCTTCATTCTAATAAGATTTAAGGGCAAAGGGTAAAGCTTTTTAAGTTTTTGAACTTGCTCCCTAGCTAAGATCTTGGTAGTTTGCAATATTGTCTGCAAAAGTTTGATTAAAAATATTAAATACATTTGTTTCCTAAGAGCAAGACAAACAGATCTGCAGCTCTGTTGCTTGTGCATTCAATTACTTTCCCATAATCCTTCCTTTGCAAGTTACTGTGTATTTGTTGTATAACCTGAGCTCTGGCTTCCTTGCTGATGTAATTTTTAAGTCCAAATAATTCTTTGTGACAGGAAAATCTGTTCTCCACACTCCTGTCACTGCTGCATGTTATTTGGTCTGTATTGGGAGTTTTGATTACCATACTAGCTTCAAAATTCTTAGTGAAAAGCTGATTTTATATTCAACACTTTAGAAAGGTTTTTTGCATGTCCTGTCTTGGTGGGTCAGAAAATTTTGACAGGTGATCATGTAGCAAATGGTATTGTATTCATTTACTCTGGTGGAGTTCTTTTACCTTTTTGCAACCTGTTTGCAAACCCCATGTTTTTTTTATTTGCTATTCTGCCACACAGACTTTCCACAGATCATGACAACTAGGTCTGCAGTGCTGGGGAGATGCCTCCATTGAATGATGTCAAGCTTCCTACATCTTGTAAGCCATGCATTCGTATAACTGTAATGTAGCTTATAATGTAAGCTTGAAAAGTGAGAGAATGAGCTCCATTTCTGTACATTTATATCTCCTGGACAGAGTTATAAGCAACTTCTGCTGAATATTTTTATGTGGTAGAGCTTCCAATTTTTAAATCCACGTTACAATCCAGAAGTCAAATAGACTGTTCAGCTATTTCAATACATACCTCATTGGTAAAACATACATTTTCAATTCTTCAGCAGTATCTAAACCTTTACAAACTTTTTGTGAATGTGCTAAATTTGTATTTGTAACTGGCTGCAGATCCATTAATTGTCTTGCATGGAATCAATTCTCACCAAGCTGAGTAGGGTTAATGGAGCTGACAGAAAGGTAACTGTGGTACAACCAATTTGCCACATTCTTCATTTGGTTTGATCTGAATAGTGGAGGTGAATGGTTGTGTCAGGCTCACGGTACCTCTGCCTCTACTTGATTCTTAGTTCTTTTGAAAGTTACCCCCGGGGAATTCAAGCAGTGCTGTGACTGCAAGTTCTTGATTCAAATTAATATTCAAGCAGCTAAGGACAAGCAGTATTGTCCTGAGCTACACTTAAAACAATGTTCATTCACTCATCAAGTGTCAAAATATAGTAATAATTACATATTTTTATCCTTTCTTGTGCTTGCAACCAGGATCTCAGAACACTTGCTCCAGCCAGCCACTGTGTTAGATCCTGCCTGGTGGCTTGGCCCCTGCACGTGGTGCTTGCAGCTCCGCTTTGTCAGATGTTTGTGCATGTGTTCCTTTTGTTTGCATTATTTATTACTGTATTTGATCATCAGCATAGGCTACTGATGGTCCCCACTAATCTTCTAGTCTCACACTAATCACTTTGACTTTCACTAAGGTCGTTCAGTGGGTGTTTCCAGGGCTTTCCCTTACCTTCTGGTCTCATTCCCTAGATGTGTTAGAAATGTAGAAGTCTGTGTGGAGGTCTGTCGGCAGAGTGACTCCTCTGAATGCCTGGCAGGCCAGCAGCCCTCTACCCCACCTGCTAGCCTCTGATTTTTCCAGCCTCTGTTATTCCAGACATTTTCAGATAGATGTGAAAAACATAACATACCCCAAATTGAAGATGCGAGGAATCACCCTATGCAATGCTTTGCCCTACTCCTGGTTATTGATTATTTTAGCATGGATGTGAGCACTGGTTTGTGTTACTACATGGCCACAAACAAATACACAGGTTAAATTCCACTGGTTATGTGCCTTGGTAATTCGATGTGTAACACCTGTAAATATATTCGGTAAAAAATTATAACAATTTGGGCTGTCAGTTGCCAGATTTATTTCACACTTTCTGGAATAGCAAGTAGCTGAGGCCAGTGGACCTGAAACTTTTAACTCCTTGAAATACAAGATTCTGCTCTTGACTTTCTGTAAAAGGACAGGTGGGAACAGAGTGCAGGGGAAGTGGTGGGTGGTGCGAGCAGTGTGGGGTCTGCCTCTCCTGGCAGTGGGTATCTCACAGTGTGAAACTACTGCTGGAATCTTTGGTTTTCTTTCATGACTCATCTCCATTGCTGGTATGTTTTGAAAGGTCCATTGCTTCATTTTTGACATTATGTAGCACTTACAGCTTTATATAACAGAAATAAAAATGATAGACCATGTAAGCAATGGATGTTCCTGTATGCATTTAGAAGATACATTTAGCACAGATGTACAAAAGAAATGTTACAACTCTAGTTTTCCAAAGCTATTCAGAAAAATTATTCAAATAGATTAAATAGATGTTTATTCTCCATGTGTGGAAAGCATCTAGCAATGTGGTAAATCATTTTTGGAAGGAGGCAAACAAACGATTAAGTCTTGAATATAGGCAGCTAAATATTTTCTTTCTAAAATAACGTTTCTAGAAAATGCTTACTTTTTTTTCCTGAAAGCCATCACTGTTTACTCTTTTAGTTCAGCAAGTACAATAGCACAGAATTGCAAACATAGCTTTAATTTTAAAAGCTTCAGCTTGCTAACTGTATTTGTCAAACTATACATGTATGCAATGTCTCTTCTGAATTAAAATCTAAGTATTTCTAAACAATTCTTATAACTAACCAAAGGAGTGGGCAACTTTCCCATTCTGTTGCTTTTTCCTAAATAATTTTCCTAAGTATCCAGGTGCCTTCCTAGGACTAGGAAATACAATTCTGGGACTGTGATATGTAGATGTCACTTCTATTTCATTGTGGCCATATCCCTGCACTGTTTTCTTGTTGATGTGTTGCAGCTTTACATTTCTGTAAATAAATAAAATCTTTAAAGTATTTTATTTGTTGATTCAGTGTTTTTTTCTGAGAAGAAACAGTACACAGAGTTTCAGCTCAGGGGAAACAGTGACTGGTTTTGTTTCTGACCTAAGAGTTAAGAATGAAAGTGCCTAGTTGAGCATATTACTAGCAGAAAGCTTGACTCAGAAGAGTGGTGACCTAGCTGTTGTTTAATAATTTACCAGAGTAATTCATAGCACTGGACACAATTAGTGTTATTGTTAAACTCAGATTTCACAATGACTTGTGGGTAAAAATACTTTTGGCTTGTCCCAGCTTTAACTTCTTAAAAATCTTTTAAATAAATGCATAATTTAACGTAAAAGCAGAATACTTGGATGCCCATTTTCCTATAAGGTGCTAAATTCCTTCGTTTTGTAGCTTGCATGAGCACATGGCATGGAAGGATGGACAACCGTCTGTTCCCAGCCCCTCCATTAAAATGCTGATAACAGTTCCCATGGTCCCTCCTTATAACAATTCCAGTGATCTGGTGGGTCAGGAAGGTTATTTACAGAACAGCCAGATATCAGTGTAGAGGAGTAAATAATACTAAATAGCAGTGGGCCTATTTGATTGGGTGATTAATCCTTTCTGGTCAGATATGGTTTGGGGCTTTTTTGTCTTAATGTCCCCTCACAGGTTTCTATGGATCTGAATAATGCTGCTTGCAGTTGCATTGTGCATTCCCAGAAAACCTTCCATGTCATATGATAAACTTAGGGAGCCATGCAGCTGTAGTAGGTCAGCCCCTTGGAATGTGTGGTGAAAATTCTGTAACTGGAAAGCAGTTCAGTGTAGAAAGGGAGTGTAGAGAAAGTTGATTTGGTGGCTGACATCCTCTTTCCTGTGAGGAATGGTCATGCAGTGGCAGCTTTGCACTGGTAGTCTAAGCCATTTCAAAACCAGGTGAGAGAAAAACAAGATTCCATCTTAAAAACAAGGGGTAAATTAGCACCCAGGAAGAGCTATACCAAATTGCCGTATCCTTTGCAGCACTGGGTGAGGCAATGCTGCCAGCTGAGTCATTCCCCCTGCTCTCATGGTCAAGCTGGCAGTACCAAGATAGTAACTGACAGCTGGAAAAGCAGCTTCTGTTGAGGGAATTGCTTGTTTGTTTTCCTCTAAGACTTTGTTTCCAAGTTCATAATTAAGGTCCTAGGTTTTTGCTTTGCTGGAAAAACCTGCTTATTTTTCACTTTTAAATTTGGAGTAAATCAGTTCAGGTTAGGTTGGTGAACACAGAGCTTACTGCTTTTTTGGAAATAATAGGTTCATGCAAGGTTATGCTTGTGCAGGCAGACTTCCAAAGGAACTTGAGAGGAGGCTGGAAACTCCAGTGATTGTTACATATCCTGCCAAGCTTGTTGGGTCGATGTGAGGGCTCATGTCTCCAGATCAGTATGCTGTGATAGGAGGACATGGTGGAAAAACTGTTTACCCTTTGAAGAATGCCCCTGTTTGTGATGCCACTTTATAAAAAGTCAGGAAAAAATTAATTCCCTCCTACTGCAAAATCATGTTCTTCACACCATGTGCTTAATGTGGGCTCTCTTATGAAGAGCAGCAAAATAAATGTCTTCAAAGCTTCAGTGCCAAAAATTACCATGCTGCTCAAGACATTTTTATTCTGTGTTGCTGTTTTAGGTTTGGATGGTTATTCAGCTGGCTTCCTGCCTGGTGTCCCACATCACTGCTACACCTTAAAGAGGCTGAGGACAAAATGCTAAAATGTAAGTCTTTGGTTTTTAATAAGTTTCATAGATAAAACCAGATTTTCTATAGATTTACATTAAATATAATGAAAGAAGTTTTTCAGTATGTCTTTTACACTGAAATAAACAGGTTCAAATTACATTTTCATTTTTCACTTAAGTAAATATTTTATTAGAAGCTCTCTCCTGTGAAAGGAGCTCCTATTTAAAACAATGGTTTCAGTAGAGTGTACTTTATATTTTGTCAGGCGTGTCTAGCAACATAATTTTTCCCCATTTTTTCTCCAGGTATTGCAAGCATATACAATAAACGATATGTGTATATCTCCAATGGAAATAAAATATGGACTCTGACGTTCTCTGCAGACCTTTCAAATAAAACTCCCCTTGTTCTCCTGCATGGGTTTGGAGGAGGTGTTGGACTGTGGGCTCTCAACTTTGAAGATCTCTGTGGGAACAGGACCGTTCATGCTTTCGACCTCTTGGGATTTGGACGTAGCAGTAGACCACACTTTGACACTGATGCTCGGGAAGCTGAAAATCAGTTTGTGGAATCCATAGAAGAATGGAGAAAGGAGGTGGGACTAGAAAAGATGATTTTGCTTGGACACAACCTAGGTGGATTCCTGGCTGCTGCTTACTCCTTAAAATATCCATCAAGGTATGTGAAAATAAAGGAATAAAAGGATTCCTTTATTTACTATTCCAAATAGTATTTGACTATTGATTTTAATACAGATTTTCTTTCATCAAGCTCTTATAGATAATCTTTATGTAGATGACTGTGATGATTTAAAGAGATGATACTGAATTTTAAGACCAAAGTATTAATTGTATGGTTTGTTTCCAGGTGAATGAAATAGGTAGATATGGTAAACATGATTTTCTGTGTACTTTTCCATATCTCTTCAGTTCAGTATCCCCTTGCCGTGTTATAAGGTGAAATAGCAGTGAATATATTTATGGGTGAATGTTTTGTCTCAAAGATTGTTTGATGAAGGGAAAATAGGCCTGTTCGTGACAAACTTCCCACTCTTATGGATAACATTGAAACTGATGAATATAATTCTCCTAGGTGATTTATGCCCATACACTAGCAGTCAGCCTGGTGCCTGCAGAATAATGTAAAAATTATTTTAATGACTCTTTGATTTAAATTGTCTGTATGCCACTTCATATTTCTTTGCAAGACAACCCATCTGCAGCAGTTCTCTAATTGTATTTCATCAGCATTTTCTGCACCATGTTGTGTCCAACAGTTAATAGTTTTTTTTCTCCTTAAAGTAGTAATTTGTTTCTTTTATATATCTGGTTTTAAGTCTGGTTATATATCACCTGCTGAGCTAGGATGTCACCAACTCAGGCAATTCTGTATCAAAAAAGGACAGTGCTTTTGTTGGGATAACATAGTGGTCTCATATGAAAAACTGAATATAAGCTTAACTCTTATCATATAGCAAATTCTGTATTATATTAAACATATTATTTTCTATTTGTGTCAAGTTTTACTGTTTCTTTCTCACTTGGATATATTTGAAGTAATTTCATGCATTATTTTCTCCTAAAACACTTTGCCTTTTCCTTTCAAAATGGACAACAGTTAGTACAAGTGGCTGGAAATTATGTGTGAAAGTAGGTGTGCTTCTGAATCCAGAACTGCAATAAAGAGATTCAGTCCTCTGCTTTAGGGGTATAAACCTAATATCCTTTTTGTTATAAGCCAACTTCTGGCTAACTGTAGTTAGCTTTTTGTAGGGAACTTCAAGTTCTTTGCCTCTTTTCCCAAAATATCTGTAAATGGCACTGTCCTATGGGATGGGATATTGGTTTTGCCCACTTCTAACTTACATCAAAAGTGATGCTTTATTTTCATGCCTCACTGTGCTTAAGTTGGGGTTAATTAGTTTGGAGATAGTTCAGTTGCAGAGAAACATTAGTAATGGGAGAGCACAAACTGAACTAAGACCACCAAAATAGCAAATTTACTGTTAGGGTCTTAAAAGAGCATTGAATCAAGTGATAAATATAGCACAGCTTTCAGCCAGGTTATCTAACAATGCATTAGAGGCTTAAGGGATTCTGGATACATATTGTTAGGAAAGTAGATCTGTTTCTCCAAGCATAGATGATCCTTTAATTTGCTACACTGTACCAGAGTCGTTCATGGAAAATCCGAGGCTACTAATCCAAAAAGATTCCCATTTAGCATACTGCCAAGTTGAAGTGGGCCATGATTTTCAAATACTGCAATTTCTGGACATTTACTTCTGGAGTGATTCTCATGGTCAACTTCCCATTATCCAGGGTTATGTTTTAGGCTTGTTTACTAAAAGGAGAAATGCCAAACAGGAAGTATTAAGAAAGGAAACATCAAGAAAAGCTTGCTCTATTTTAATGCATTTATTTGCAGTATTATACTTAATACCACAGTTTGTGCTCAGAATGTGTGGCTGAATGGCTTCTCATTGTTTGCACTGCTGTGCCTCTGGTCTCTCCTGCTTGGTTTGTACAGTTAGATTCTACCCTGTCCTCTCTTACTGTTGCAGTTTGCTGCAGGGTGTGAGTATGCTCATAGATGAGCCAACAACCAAGAAACATCTTTGTGATGTTAATCCTTTCCAACCCTTCATTCCAAGCACAGGGTTTTGGTTTCCCAGCTGATCATAATCCAGAAATAACTTTTGGGATCACTTCTTCATCATTTTAGGTACTGGTAACTCCTCTGTGTTAATATATTCTCGTGGCTTTAACAGTGAAGGAATTAATGAAGGAAAAAGTAAAGATAAAAAGTTAAGATAAAAATATAAAACCATAGGTGGATTTAGGTTAGATAATCTAGTCCAATTGTTAACCCATGAGTTCTGAGTCCACCAGTAACCTGTGTCCTTAAGCACTTCCTTGGGCATAGTATCATAAAATACAGGTATAGGTCAGAAGGGACCTAAAGTATCATCTAGTTCCAATCGCCCTGCCATCGACAGGGACACCTCCAACTAGACCAGATTGAACAAGACAGCCTGTTCCAGTGCTTGACAGCCCTTTCAGTGAAGAAATTTTTCCTAATATCCAATCTAAACCTCCTTGAGGCTGTTTCCTCATGTCCTATTGCTTGCTACTTGGGATAAGAGACCTTGCTACAACCTCCTGACAGGTAGTTGTAGAGAATGATAATGAGGAAGCTGACATGGAAAATCATCTTTAAATGGAAAACTACAGTTAGGAGTCACTTTCTTTCAGAAATCACCACTATCTAGGACAGTTAAAAGTGTTATTAAGGGATTAAACGGAAAAGGGACAATTAAAGAGAAAGGGACAATTCTAATCCACCAGGATGAATTAGAATTTTGCTTGAGGGGGGCCCACAGCATGAAGTGATCAATAGTTGCATGTGCTGGAAACTCCTATAATGCTCTCTTTACTGATATTCCTTTGAGTAATAGTTTTACAAATTGCCTCTCTGATGTTTTCTTTCATGACCTAAAATCAGTAAATTTAGAAGACTACTTCTAGTCTTATTCTGCCTTTTTTAGTTCAAATTTTACTTTGATGAGATGATTTTTCAGTTAAATTGTGTCTCTTCTTTGAACAGAGATCTTAGACTTCTAGAAACTTCACTTTAATGAAACAGATGCAATTATCCGCTTCTCTGTCAAATTAAACTGTTCCTGCAAATAATGTTCAAATAATGTTGACTGAGCATTTAGGTTAGGCTATTTTTAAAAACAGAAACAAGACTATCCTTTCTTTCAAATGTTTGTGATGGTGAGTATCTGTAAAATACTGAGTTTCTGTTTGTGACACATGCTTCCGTGTTTCTGGTTCATTCATATGATCAGGTGCAATTCACTCTAATTAGTAACTGAAATAAAAACAGCTTATGAATCAGAAACTATGTGATAGAAGTGACTAAAGTAGGCTACATGTTTGTATCTGTGAAACAGATAGCACATTTTCATCATGCTCAGTTGAAGAAAAGCTACTGTACTTTAAAACGCTGAACCTTTTTTGCCAACAGGGTCAAGCATCTTATCTTAGTGGAGCCATGGGGTTTTCCAGAGAGGCCTGACAATGCTGAACACGAAAGACCAATTCCAATCTGGATCAAAGCACTAGGAGCTATATTGAGTCCATTTAATCCATTAGCTGGGCTAAGAATAGCAGGACCCTTTGGTGAGTTTTAGCTACTCTTAAATGCCATTTCTATTTTGATTAAACATAAACATGGAGCAGACAGCACATTATGATAAACTTTTTTCTAAGTTTGTATCACCCACAGAGGAAAAAGTTGGAGGGGAAAGTGGGAGAGGTTGAAGAAAGTTTGAACTCTTTAGGGAAGAAGGCAAACTCTTGCTATTAAAAATACTAGTACAATAGTTTACAGCAAGCTATACTATGTGATCTGTACAGGCTTCACTTTTATTGAGTTGGATTATGCAAATGTCTGTTGGGGGAACCCTGACAAAGAGGCATGAATGTGAAAGTTTTTCTGATTGCCTCTGATCACAGTCCATTTAGCCTCCCTTCTAATTCCAGTTTGATGAACAAATGGGATTTCCAAATTCCCTTAACATTATAAGTTAGTCTCTCATAAATGCAAAAATCTTTGGTCTGAGTTTAAAAAAGTTGAAACTGAATTTTTTCCATTAGCCATTTGCTTATTACTCTAGCAAATCTTGTGGGCCTCACTGGTGTCCTGCGTTATGGTGGCAGTTCATATTTCCATTTCTTCAACAGCACTGATGGAATGGTAAATAAACTTTCTATACCCTAATACTAGGGCTAAGTGGGCCTGACCAAAAATACTATGGTTTTAGTTCAGCTGTGTTGGAGTCTGGAATACAGAGTGTGTATGGGAATGGGGAGAAGAGCATAATAAAATCTGAAAGTCATTCTACGTATTCCTTCCAGAGGAGAAAGAGGTTATCTATCTGTTACTCTCTGTGCTACACAAGTATCTTCTGGAGAGGCTTGGAAACAGATATCCTTCAGGCCCCTCACAAGTTATAATTAAGTCACCTCTTCATCGTTTTTGGTATTCAGTCTGAAGAAAAACTCGTGAGATTTCTAGGCTTTGTTTACATTTAAACCACATCTGTTTCCCGAATCTATTTCTATAGAAGATATATTTTAATATGCTACATATGCTGATTTGTTTGTTTCTTTTCAAAAGTGTGACAAATTTAGTTTTTCAGACAAGCAACATGTTTTATACAAACAGATTTTTTTTTTAAGTAAAATGCTAATTTGGTTAACAAAACAACCTGGAAAATATTGAGTGATATGTACTGATTTAATGTGTTCTATCCCATAACAAGAGCATACATAAATCAATCCACATGGGAAAATTCAAAGCTGAAATTTTCTTCCTTAGCAATAAGTGTTGTCAAACCATGCTGCAGAAGCAGACTCTGTCTTGGCAAGGTGTCCCCAAACCTAGCCTCAATTATAGGTTGCCATGGAGGGCAATGCCTTTAAAAAATTTTTCATCTGTTTCTCTGCCCTGGTAAAAAAAGTTTTCCTTCACCAACTGAAGTTCTTGACAGGTGAAACATAGTTCTTGGAGAAGGGTAGGTCTAAACACTGTGCTGCAAGTTGGCATCAGACCTAACCTGATGAAGGCATTGAACTGAACCCAGGTTTCGTTCCACATGCAAATGTGCTTACGCTGATGGGCAGACATCGTGGTTTGAACCTCACTGTAAAGCAAATTGATCTTGTTCAAAGGTATGAGTTCAAATGTGAGCCAAGTTCATTGGCATATCACAATAGTGTCACATGGATATTTAATCAGACCCACAGGCGAATACTTAAAACTGGGAGAGACAGAATCCAGAGATATTTTTTTCTTTGAGAGGTTTCCAGGTAGTTGGTTTGCCATGTTTTCCTTCACTTAACCACAACAGTCACACAGGAGTCTCACAGTTTGGTGGGGGTTTGGTGCTTAGGTTGGATTTCTGAATTCCATTCTTAGAGCTGAATGCCTGAAAATTTGTCACAATAACAGAAATGTCACTGTGACCGCACCCTTTTTGTGGAGCTTGGTGTCTTCACTGTTAGAACTCCATACAGTATTTTCATAGACACTGTGGAAAACATCAGTCAGACAATTCAGAATTTCTTCAATAAATATTACAACAATGATTTACAGTCTGATTTCATTCTAAAATTTGTTCCAAGGTGCCTTGAATCTTTGTTTCATCCTCCCCTGTAAATTCCCAGGGGAAAAATGTTTTGGAATTGGACCCACAGACAAAGCACTCCTTATCAAAACAGAAAGTGAAGGCTCAAATTTGGTAGTGCTTCATGCCATGGCCCCTGTGCTGACAGCAGGGCAAGACACAGAGTTAGTCTCTTTCTTCCAAGTACTGTTATTCCAAGCCAGCTGTGTTCACTTGTATTCAAAAATTCCAAAAACACAGAAAAAGAAGTCCAGCAGTTGTACTCTATGTAGGGAAAATAGAGCAGAGCCAATTGCCATACTTTTCCAAAATCTTCATTGCTTTGGGAGTTAAATCACTGTTTCATAAGGGAATTATTTTCTCTTGCACTGTATTAGTTTTCTAAATCTGTTTAAAGCATGCATAAGGGTGTGTTGCAATAATCTCAAGGTTACGAAAGCTTAGATCACTGTGACAAGTTCTGCATAAATAATAGCAGGTCTTTGCCCAGGACTGGGTGGGAAGAAGTGACATCATCATAATTGCACAGATTAACAACAGTATGAAGTTCCAACTGTCTGGAAAAGGGGAAACATAACCATGAATAGTCACACTTGGTCAGCGTGGTGTCCACGTGGAGACCAGTGATGAGTGTTGTTCCTCGTGGCTCAGTGTTGGGATTGGCTGTTGCGCATCTTTGTCAGCAGCAGACAGTGGGATCGAGTGTGCCCTCAGCAAGTCTGCTGATGGCACCAAGCTGTGTGGTCAACAAGCTGTAGGGGAGGGATGCCAGCCAGAGGGACATGGACAGGTTTGAGAGGTGGGCCCATTCCAGCCTCATGAAGCAAGGCCGTGTGCAAGGTCCTGAACCTGGGTCAGGGCAATCCTGACCACCTCTGAACAGAGAATAGATTGAGAGCAGCCCTGAGGAGAAAGACCTGGGATGTTGGTTGATGAGAAGCCCAGAATGATCCAGCAGTGCGTACTTGCAGCCCAGAAAGCCAACCACATCCTGGGCTGCATCAAAAGCAACCTGGCCAGCAGCTTGAGGGAGGTGATTCTCCCTCTCTACTTTGCTCTCATGAGACCCCACATGGAATACTGCTTCCAGCTCTGGGGCCCCAGTATAAGAATGTTGGAGACATTCCCACTAGAGATAGTTGAGAGCAGGGACATGAAGATGATCAGAGGGCTGGAGCACCTGTCCTGTGAAGACAAGATGAAAGAGTTGGGATTTAGAAGAGGAAGCTTTGGGGAGACCTTGTAGGAGCCTTCCTGTACCTAAAGGTGGCCTACAGAACTGGAGAGCAACTTTTTACAATGGTCTGTAGTGATAGGACAGGGGCTAATGGCTTCAAACTCAAAAGTTTAGATCAGATATTAGGGATTGCTAATACTCTTAAACTAAGATTAGCCTTGTGGCAAGGGTCTTGTCCCAGAGATCCATCTGGTCAATGTAGAAGAGGCTTCTTCCTTAAAGAAATTATTCAGAAAAGACGCTTAAGTTTAGAAAGCCTGAACTGGCCCCTGACAAGACCCACTTCTCTACTGGCTTCTTAGGAGAGCATGAGGACAATGGTTTTCAGCATTAAATCTCTTCATTTATACCAGTACTTGTGCCTTATGTTAAGATTTCTACACCTGTTTTTCATCATGGACTTCTGTTCTTTCAACCACACACTAGTTAGATGAACTAGCTTCAGAAGCAGACTGTTCTGTAAGAGGAGAAGACAGTCTTAAGCAAGAAAAACATCACAGCTTTTTCAACAGTGCCTTCTGGTTCTGAAAGGTGTTGTGCACTTAACTTACCCAGTGCTGCCAGAGCAAGGAGAATGTATTGGTATCATGTGAGACTAAACTGGTGACAAAAAGACACCTTAGCTCTTTTGCTGGTCCCCATTGTAGGTTTCTTCTGTTGCTGTAGTGACCCTAGTCAAACATTCCCTATATGTATTCAGTGGGGGGAGCAGCATAAAATTCTTTACAGTTTATTTCTTTACGGTATATTTCATTCCTGTTAAGTGTAATTCCATTGTGTTTCCCAAGACTTGCAAGTGGTAAAACTAAATACAGGTTTAGAAGCCACAAGTTTCAAGGGGATATGTTCTGAGGGCTCTAATGAAAAGCATTAGGCAATCTGATAAAGTAATTTATACACATTCCCCCTCTAATAGTGTTTTCTGTTTTAACAGGATTAAGCCTTGTTCAACGTTTAAGACCAGATTTCAAGCGAAAATATTCATCAATGTTTGATGATAACACTGTGGCTGAATATATCTATCATTGCAATGTACAGTCACCCAGGTGAGTTTGTATTTCCCAGTGTATGGTTTGAAGTCTCTTGTTCATTTAGTGAGTGCCTGCTACTCCCTCCAATGGCCATGGCAGCAGTGTGCATGCTATTTTTTTTTTTAATTGTGGCATTTATTATTTTGAAGAAACAGGTACCATTGCACTTTTTCTGACTTCCAGAATGTAAAAAGTATCCTAATTCTATATATTTATTCTCAATTTGTGTTAATTCTGTGAGAGTTTGGAAACTGCATTTAATTGAATAATTGTTGGAGAATTTTAATGTGTAAAGGATTTCTTTAAAAACTTTAAAAATAAGGCATTTCATTCTTTTAAGTGCTCCTTCTTTTAAGTGCTATTCAGTCATGGGCTCTTTCTGTTGAAAATTATATGTAAACCTTGGAAACTTACTTTCCTTAATTATAAAAATTCACAACCTCATGTACTTTATGCTATCAAAAGGCACAGATATTCCATTTTAAAGAAAAAGCAGATCCAATGGCAATTGAAATTGTTTTTACCCTTTTGAATGTCTTGAAGCGGTGAAACAGCTTTCAAGAACATGACAATTCCTTATGGATGGGCAAAAAGACCAATGCTGCAACGGATTTCACAAATGGATCGAGACATTCCTATCACGGTGGTGTATGGAGCACGTTCCTGTATAGATGGTAATTCTGGCAGCACTATCCAGTCTCTGAGACCAAATTCCTATGTGAAGACAATAGTAAGTGTGACTTGTAAAGCAGTTGTTTGTTTTTTGTGTGGATTTGTTTTAAGTCATATCTGGGTGGCCAGGTTGGATGGGGCCCTGAGCAACCTGGTCTATGGGGAGGTGTCCCTGCCCACGGCAGGGGGGTTGGAACTAGATTAGTTTTAAGGTCCTTTCCAACCCAAACTATTCTATGACTTTGTTTTTTCATACCAGCTGTGGAAACAGTGTCACTTTTGATTTAGAGCCTGGGGTACTAAGTTCTGTTTTCTGTAACAGAGAGAGAGAGAAAACAGATGTTACATCAGAGAAAACCTAGACAAAAGTGTTGAGTCTAAGAACAAAACCTACTGTAGCACTAGAAGGCAAAGTAGATATGTGAGCAAGGTGATTCTTTATTTTGTTCCACAGTGTGCTAGTAGAAGTAGGTGTTGTGGTCACTGTGTTTCAAACCAGACCAGTCCTACTATCTCCATATATATATATATATATATATATATATATATATTAAGGTGGGGAGGCTCTCAAAAACTCTCTTCATCTGTCTATCCTCTGATAAAAGAGTAGTTTGTACCTGGTGCTTAGGTTCTTGTGAGCATCTTTCTTTAAGTAATTAAAAAGATATTTAGTGTTGTCTTACTACCTAAGACATTTTTGTTTAGATGTATGATATTGTTACTTAAAATGTGTGTACTCACAACTTGATGTGAACGTGCACACTGCATTTTTTTGTTGTTGATTTCTATAAAAACAAACTAATTTAAAAGTATTCTTCACACATTTTCACATCAGTCAGCTGTGATAATTGAATATGCATACATGTTAAAATGCTGTGAGGTGATAAAATGTTTGAACACACCATCTGTGATGTTACTGATGTCTGGAGCTATCTGGACAGAAGTGTACAATATGTAATGTGGATAGTACACTATAACAAGTCATCCAAATAAAATTTCATAACTTGATACAGCTGTATTTAGAGCTGGAACTCAGAGAAAAGACATTGTTATCTGACTGTTATAAGTGCGTTAAAGAGCACAGATACATTTCATAAATGTTGACATCCAGAGTGAAAGTGTCACTTAACTGCTTAACCAGAGAGAGGGAGTTGTAACACAAAGTCACTGTTTAAGAGAATACAGGATACTGCTGGGATAAGCTTATACCACTCAGGGAGATTTTTTCCACTCTGGTCAAGGACTTTTAGAAAGGACTGTGGAAATTTGTATTGTATTCCAGGTTAGAATTTTGCCAAGCCAAATACGGATTCTAAAAGGTAATTTGGAGTGGTAAAATTGCAGGCACATTCAAGAACCCATAGGAGGGCAAGGGGTCTAATGAGACCGAGATGTGGACTGGCAGTGCCGTGCGTGGTAAAACGCACAGAGGTTCAGTGGTTTAGTTACATGCATTTATTTCTAAGTAATTTTTACTTTTGAGTTTCTGGGAGTTTTCAACACAATAACATAGCTATACTTGTAGGAGATTCAGTTAGAGACTTAAGAGAGGGGGGAGGGGACTTTAAGGAGGGGAAAATAGTTTTAAACAAAGATTAGTCTTGGACTGACTGTAAAATAGAAAGAAAACGCGTCAAGTACCTTTGCTATACACTGTGGTGATAGTTTACTTTGTAGCATTTTTACAGAGAATAACAAATTCTAGAAGTAGGCTATTTCAGTGGAGTGAAGGGAATCAAGGCTGCATCAGAAATTTGATATGCAAGGCATATATGTCTACTAAATCTGTTGTGCAGTGACTCGTGCAGTCTTCAGTGGTGGGTATTTTCCAACAAGGTGAGCAGTTGAATAAGCAGTAGTTTTACTTTCTTTTCCTGTGCAAGAAAGTTTCTTTACAAGGATAAGAATATTTTGGTATTCCTTATGTTTAGAGTGTTTTTTAGGTTGTATGATGCCAACTCTTAGGTAATGTGTAAAGGCCAGGTTCTTCACCTGTCCCAGTATTTATTTGTTTGTTACCTTTTTGTGATACTGATGTGCTTCTTCACCTTTATCCTCCAGGCTATCCTTGGTGCAGGTCATTATGTGTACGCTGATCAACCTGAAGACTTCAATGAGAAAGTGAAAGACATCTGTGACTCTGTGGACTGAATGTCCTCTGTTCTTTACAAAGTCATAGATAGCATTTAATGGCAGTACTCTCTAGGAAATCACTAAAGAATACAGAGCTAATGGAACAGGCTCTGTTTGCACACTGTTTCTTCTAAGAAGCCATTTGCACACTTAAACCACTGAGTGCCTATTTTTGAGGGGAATGAAGAGGTTTGAAGCTAACTTTGTACAGCTTTTTTTTAATTGTCCTGTCAGATACAAAATTACGTGTGACTTTTGAAACTGGAATTTTCTTCAAAATTTAATTGAACTTTGCACATGTTGAACTCTCTAAAAATGCTGAAATTTACAACATGGAGAACTGTATCAGTAGAGATACAATGTACAAAATGCAATTTGGTTTCTTTATGGATGTTTGTACTTTTTAGCTGATGTTTCATAGCAAGAATATGAAACTGCATATGTATTTTTATTTTTGGAACCCAGAACTCCATACACAATATTTTAAGAAGGTTTGTTTTCTAATTGGAGTGGTAACAGTTTATGAAACTGGTTTTGGGAAAGGGATGGGACCAAAATAATGAGCAGTGTGTGTCACTGAAATATGTTTGTTACTTCATAAGAAATTTGGGCTCAATATTAGGAAATCTATCTTCTGTTAGATTTTATTTCCATTTATCTCAAGGCATCCTTTTCCATCTGTGCAACTTTTACGGAAGACTCAGTTTCTAAGAGTCAATGATGTCACCAGCACTCATGCTTCCATAAATATTCTGATGTGTAGATTTCTGTGATTTAAAATACAGAAGATGGCTTGTTACTCCACCTATTTTTAACACTTTACTGCAAGATTTGTTACTAGTCTAAATATAACAATTGTGGATAAGATGGTAAGATTTTAATTAGGGCTAGGAGATATCCACCTGTATAGTGAGCAGATTTCCCATTTTTTTCAGTAGAAAGCCTGGTCCATATTTTAGTGAATTCAAGCTGAAGGAGAGGCAGAGGCAGAATATTGATGTTCTCTAATTGGGAACTACAACAGCTTAATGTATTTTATTTAACATTCAGCCTCCTTATAGGAAGGATTACTATTGGAATGAACAATACCACTGTAATGAAGTACAATTACATGTTTTTGAAGATTTTTTTAATATATTTTAATTGAGTATTTCAATATCAGAGATAGTGCAGTCTCTGCTACTTTTTGAATTATAGTTTGATGTTAGTACTTCACTTGCCTAGTAAATGACATTAAGAAAAATACTTTGTCACTTTAAAGCCAAATAATGGGGTGGTTTGTTTTTTAACAAGTTTACATAAAACTATTGATCTGGTTTTGAATATTCAATTGACTACTGAAGAGTTCTTGATACTTTTATAAAAAAAGAATTTGAATTAATGACTACACCATCTTAAAGCTTGAATTACGTGCATTTTTTCCCCAAATTAAGGAATTGTTGAACATGTTTATTTTGTGGAAGGCAAAGATACCTAAAATATTCAGGACATAATGTGATTATGTTCCCCAGCAGAACATAATCTCCCTTACTGAAGGAGATATTTATCTATATGGTGCTATGTAAACATCAGACAGTTTTTGTGACTGCCTTGATTGGTAGCACTTCATATCTAGCAAGATAAATATTTTAATTAAAAATAAGTATTGAATTAAATTACCTTTTCAATTAGCAGATGCCAGAACTGTAAAACAAAATTTTGGGTTATTTGCTAAAATTGTAAGTTGAAAATGAAAAATCAGAATTATCAATTCCATTTTTTAATATAAGCTATAAATTATAAGTCATGCCACCATTTAGGTGGATGCCTTCAGCCTATTGGTTATTTTTCACCCTTTTCAGTGTCTTATTTTGTATTTATCAACTTAAACAGCTATTTTAGTTGTGCATAAAAACCTAATGCAAAATAAATTTTGAGGTTCCTCCAAATAATAAAAGGTGAAACAAACTATTGGTACTTTCAGATAGCACTTACTGATGGGAACTGTAGATTCTGCATCAAAAGCTGGAAATAGGAATAAAAATTGCACGCTGGATGTGAATATTGTTTTAAATATCCCTTGCTTTTTCTGCTTATTGTACTAATAAGACTTATTGCTTATGTTTTGCACAATAAAAAAATTAAAATGTTATATTTGATTAATGTTAAGACATTATATTGCTTTTTTTAAAAATTATGTTCAATTAAGCCCTGGAAATCAAGAGTTATTAGTAAGATGAGGTAAACAATCCAAAATACATGAAAAATGCAGTAATGTTTATTTTCAAATGTTTCAGTATTCTTAGGTTTCCTTGTATTTAACTGAAACTGGTGTTTGTCAACAAGTAGCTGCAAGCTGAGAATGTTGATTGTATGTACAAGGGGAAGGGGTTTTGTATTATCTTCCAGGCAGTATTAGGTGCTGCTGTGAAGGTCAAGATGGAATTCTGAATGTCCTACTGTGTGCAACATAAGCTGATCAAATTACTTTAATAAATGTCATAGGAGGTGATGAACAGAAAAGGAATGGCTGAAAATACTTGGGAGCTAGACCTTTTGTGAGCAATTACTGCCTGGAAATAATCTCAATTTCTCCAGAAGTTCTATTTCAGTGCAATGACCAGTTGCTTAAATGTACTGTGGTGAGCACTGAATGCTGATGATGCTATTTTTATTACAGCACTATAAAATAAGACAAGAATCACAGGCATAAAGGCACACAAAGATCTATCCCACTCTAACATAAAAATGAAGACAGCTATGTACCAGAGTCCAAAGTATAACAAAAAGAATCCAAAATATTAATAAAAATCCAAGATAAACTGCCTAAATCTCCAGGACACACTCTTCCTGAGGTTGTTGTGATAAAATTTATTTAAAGTAACTCAGTAATATTTTGTTTGCCATGGCTGAGTTCATCTTGTTACTTACTGAACCCTGCCAGATTAGATTTTAATTCTGAAAAACTGATTTTCAGAGAATTTGTTGATAAGACTCTATAATAAAATATTTGCAACCATCACAAGGAAGTCCCTGTTTGTATCTGATTGTGAAATGGAAATGGAAAATGTGAATTGATAGGTGTTGATCTTGGAAAAATGGGTCCAAACAAGAGAAATGTCATCATCTGGTTTCACTTGGATTAAACAAATGCTGGATTAAACCAATGCTGGCCTTTCTTTCTAAAAGTTACCTTTTTAAGGTCGCTGCAACTGTTTGTGCTGAACTGATGTGCCAGTCTGTCTGAAATGCTTCCTGTGGTCATTGTGGTTCCTCAAATTCCCAGCCCTCCCAGCAGCTTTTTCAGTGGGATGAAAACAAGTTTAAATGCAATAAAAGCATCTGGAATTAATGTATGGGCAGAGATTTTCAGGAACACCTGTTTTGTTAGCATCCATTAAAACTTGAGCCTGCAGAATCCTAAGGCTCAGGGTCAACTGCTTTTAAATGGGTAATTTCTTGGGTCTCCTCAGCATATCTGTCATTTTTTTGGGTTCTTTCGGCCAGTTGGCCATCAACCCATCCTGCAATCTTTGAGCATGGCGGCATAGCCATGTTGCCTTGAAGCCTTCATCGATGGATTTATGTTTTGTGGGAAACACAAATGAAACTTGTGAAAGGATAAGGTGCTACAAGAGCTGAAGAGACACACATTTAGTGGGACTGGTAAGATCAGAACAGGACACAGATGTGTGCAGCAACTGCCTTCTGGTGTTAGTGGTAGCAGATGGAAATGGATGGAGCCTTCAGGTTTCCAGGGAGATGATGGGCAGACCAGTGTGGAGAGCAAAGGCACATGGCTGGAATGACAGCCTACAGCACAAGGAGCAGTAAGAGCTAGAAAAGAATGACACAGCTAGAAACAGCAAAATTCAGCTCAAGAGCTTTGGGGTGGGAAAATTCAAGAGCTGGTCAGCTCTAGAGGAAAAGGGAAATGGTGAGAGAAAGGTTTGGAATGTCTAGTGTGCAAGTAACACAGCTTACCAAGGTAAGGAGAACTGCAGAATCAGCTGGAGGGAAGTCTGGTTGGAAAGCTTGGATCTACACAATATGGGGCACTTTAAAGTTTTGGTATCCCTCCTTTGACTAAAGCTTGTCCTTGAAATGCAAGTACTTTTTTTCCAAGCTGGACACCATTCCCTCAGATTAGTACTTGGACAGGAACCTTAAAGAATTATCTCTCATGCAGCACTCAAGAAATCAAGAGAAATTATTTCACAAATCAGAAGTGAGCTGATGGCAAAGCATGTGATAGGGGGTTGCTGGCCTGAGGTAAGATGAAAAATCAAGATGTACAACAAGACTTGTCACTGAAGATTATAAATTCATCTTTTACAAGAGGAGTGGCTCTGCTCCAGTTTGCCTCGTTGCCTTTGATCACAGGGATATCCTATCTTAAAGTTTGGATGTGGGTAGTGGAATGTAGAAGTATAAATATGGAAATATTTGCCACATATACTTTAAAAATAAGAAACACAAGTAGCAGGAATGTACTGAAGACATTTTTAGATATGTACATAATTTGCATTAGTAATTAGCTGCAAGATGGAAGTGGTGACAACATTACAAGTTAGGTGTTTACTTGCATTTTATGCTTCATTTGCCAAGGAAAGCTAGCAAACTGAAACTGTTAGTTTTGGGAAGTGGGGCAGGGCTGTAAAATGGAGTGTGACCCCAAATGCATGCTAAGGAGTTTATGTGCTTTGAAAATGAACTACTGCAAAAGCAGGATCTCCATATATTTACAGGTCTATTTCTGCACTCTCGAATTCACCTACTTGATGTGTAAATGACTGGAGCTGTGAATGGAGCAAGGTGCGGCTATCACTTCCTTTGTAGCGTTGTGATATTTAAATGCTTGCCTGATATCCACCTGCCTTTCTGCTTTGACTTTATTTAAGGATTCTCACACTCACTTGGAGCTCAAGCCTAAAATGGAGGCTAAACAGCTCAGTCCATGCAAATCCCCCAGCTCGAGACCCCCTCTGGAAAGGAGATTATTACTTATGTCTACCCAAGGTTTGGTTCTTGGCGCCTGCCCAGGAGTGAGATTGCTTGTCCTGCTGGACACTGAGCCCCTGTGTTCAATCATGTGCCATGGCCACTTCTGCCTCATAAGTACCCCCAGCAGAAGCTTTGATAAGTACAGAGGTAAGGAAAATAACCTTCAAACACAGTGGAAGGAAGACTCTGGTAGTGAGGTCATGCATGGGGGAAGGACCAGCACATGATGATTCCTGAGAGTGGTGGGATGGTGAGCCCCATCCAGCACTTGACCCTGGTTTGTTTCCTGGCTTGCAGGGCCTGAGCACCATGCTGCTGTCAGATTTGTTTGCTACACATCCCCAGCTCACAATTTCCCTGTGTCCAGCTCCCTGAGCTGCAGGATGAAGCCTTTGAGCCTCTTGGCCACCTTAAACACCTCTGTCCAAGTATTCCACCAGCAATGAGCCTGCTCACAGATGAAGCCACTATGGCTGTTTCCACAAAGGAACTTGGCAGATAAATACTGGGTGCAGGTAAGGCACAGGGAAGAGTGAGAAGCCATCTGGATCATCCCCTGGCACTGACTCCTTCCTAGCTGTCAGCCCTTGCCTTTGCTCAGCAAGGGGCCTGGCCATGCAGGAGGTTCCCCAGTCGGGAAAGTGTCTTCCTGGCCAAAAATTGTAGAATCACAGAGTGGGTTTGGTCATAATAAACTTTTAAGATTATCTAGTTCCAACCCTGAAAGCTGCATCCAACTTGAATTACCTTCATGGAGGGCTCCAGTGTCCCAGCCCCCATGCCAGTGGGCAACTCTTCTGCACAGGCAGGATTGGGCTGCGCTGGGACTTTGTGCACCACCCCAAAGCAGCTTCTAGGCTGTGTGACGCCTGCCATAGTTCCTGACAAGCCTAACCTAGTACAGTAGTCTAGCAAAGTCTGCCTAAGTACATTAGTCGGGGTCATGCTTTGTTCACAGAAAACAAGAATTCAGGTGTGTCACCAAAATGATGCATAAACTGTTTTGGAGGTTTTTTTAAATACAGGCAGATTTCAGCAGCAGTTTGGGGGACAGCAGCTGCTAAGCACACAGTAGTGTTTGCCTGTTGTAGAATGGCTATAGATTTGTTTTATGAGTGTTCTAAAAATAGTTTTTGCTAAAATGCTGGAGGGTTAGTGAGAAAAATGAATACATTTATTTTTATCCCAGCAATATCTGGAAACAGATGAAAATCCAGCCAGGTGAATGAATCCAACCTCTCATCAAGTCACATATTTAATTAATAGGCAAATTATTACAACAGTATTTCCCCCGGCTGCTTCAGTGCAAGCCAGCTCCCAGCTGGGGCTGCACATCCCTGCCACCCCATATATCTATGCCTGCACTGTTGGCCTCGTGGAGCAGGGATGACAGGAGCAGGGAGGAAGGGGGAGACTGTCCACTCTTTTCCCCCATCGGCTGAGAAGCTGAGGCTCTCTTCTCCTTTGCTCCATCAATTCTCCACAGACCCCACTAGAGGGGACACGGCGCTCCCAAACCGCCCCAGCACATCCTCCGGGCTCCTGCTTTTGCACGGCGTTGCTTTTAAAGAAAGAGCTGCTCTGCAATTTCTTCTTCTACACTTGACAGCTTGATACCTAAAGGCATGGGGCAGGGCTGAAATAGGGATTCCAGCCGTTTGATTCACCCCTGTCATACAGGAAAGGGCGGGTTGTGAAAGGGGTGAGTGCGATGCCATCCCATTAACGTAGACCCCTGTAGTACTGCATCTTCGTTTTATTTATCCTAATGCCTTTTCACAAGGCAGAAATGAAATCCACATAGAAAGACTAGACATTTGAAAGAGGAGGGGGAGCACAAATGAACCTCCTCTATTATTACAGATCAGCCCCAGAATGAGAATAAATGGTGATAAGAGGAAAAAATAACTGCAACAGAATTATTAAATAAGGGGCAACTTTTAAAGTGGCTCCAGTCTGGCTTCTAATTTTGTTCCTGTAATTTGATTGTGGGTTTAAATGGGACTGCTTAGACATGAGCTTCTTGATCTGCCAGCAGCCTCAGGTAAGCAGTGCAGAAGTATGTGCCAGGGCTGGGTGGGTGCTGCACCCTGCCCGCCTGCGGACAGGGTCTGAGGGCGGGGGAGAAGCTCCCTTCCTGCCAGGAATTCCATCACAGGCGGGTG